TTGCTGTTGTTTTAACATATTGTCATTGTGACAGTAACACATGCATATAATATGCTTTGATGGTGACTATGTCCTATCACCAAGTTGTGTCCTCCTCCCACTCCTCCTGATATCAGTATTTTACTCAACTACTCTTCCACTCTTCCTTCTATTTTCATGGAGGTTTTTTTGTCTGTTTTTATCAACCTGTAACTTCAATTAAGGTTATGTAGGGGAGCATGTGTAGAGGGGTTATCTAACAGATTGTTACCATCCATGTATTTTTATCACCATCGTCTCCAAGTACCCTGTTTTTTCTCTCTCCCACTACTCCTGATCCCAGTACCCAGGTAGAAATCATCCAATCCCCAGGTACTTTCTCTTCTACCTTCAGGACTCTTGATCAACACATGTATTTCATTTGTTTCCTATAGTGGCAGGTGCTAGGAGTTGAAAGTCGTGGGAATCTTACTAATGGCTATACCACTAAAGCCAATTTCTCTCACCCTCTGAAATCATTAATTACCTATAGATCCTTAGGGAGCGGTGAAATTTCACAAGTCCCTCCCCCTAGCAACTGGAATTTTCTACCAACCCTGAGGAATGGGAGAGAGGCTCATGAGCTTTCTACACTTTTGATGACAGAATGATTGAGGCCCAGTCTTCAGCAGCTGCTGAAGACTTCAGGCTATGTCATATCCTAGAGACTAAAGTCCACACAACTCCACCCTTTCTTCTACCTCTTACATTCTTTCTTTACTTTCTTCCATAGTGTCCCCTGGCCCATGGAGGGGATGATATACATGTCTCATTTAAGACTGTGGACTCAACAATCGCATGTTCTCAACACTTTGGCCAGTTAAGAATCTCTGGAGTAACTGCTACCAGAAACTTCTCTGGACAGCCTGACAGTGCATTAACTTGCCCGCATAAGCATATAAGTACTTAGAAAGAAATTTGACCTTATACCCAAATTTGACATTTCAATGTGCTAAAATACACAAAAGTGAACACAGAAGCCATCCACAGGAGCTTTTCTTGATTATTTGTTATTATCAATGAATTAATAGAGTTTTGATGCCTGTCCTAATGTTGACTACTACCACATCTCCTCTTGACATTTGAACCTTCTTGCTACAATTGGGATGGACAGTGCTCAGGAATGCTGCTAAACCTGCTAAAATGTACAAATAGCTCAAAAATTATCCAGGTCACACCAGCCATAATCCAGAGCTTCAGAAATTCTGCTGTGGAAGTAGGTACATCCACAGACATACTCTGTCAATATATAGATTTATGCAATCTGAACTATGTGGGCTGAGGTAGCAAAACAGGGAACATTTAAATTTCACCTTTTAACAAATCATGTAATATGTCTCTATCTTTTCCTTTGTTTCTTGAAACATTCCATCATATTCATTATGTTCAGTTTCTTTCATTCCAAGAGACAACAAACTTGGCATTGTTCAACTACAGATTTCTCCCTAAAATTTTGCCTATTACACTGGGTAAAAGTGGTGACTTGGAACCAGATCTTCTACTCTAGGAAGAGTTTCTGGGGAAAAGGGCTGCTCCAGACACACTATGAATAAGAGTGGAGGTGAAGAGCATCTGGGCAGAGCCTCTGAAGGGTAGCAAAGATGAGCTCAATGAAGGTCCCAGTTTACCAGAATCTACAATTAAAACAACACAGCATGCGGTAACTGTGCTTTCCATTTCCTTGTACCAACAGTTTCTCCAGTACCTGGAGCCATAAACTGTAGAAGATGGCTCAGCATTGGGGCCTAAAGCTCTGGTAGAAGTGACTTAATAAAGAGACTGGGTGAAGTTGGTGCTTTCAAGAGTAGCCCATGCCAGCCCACCTATGAAGCACTGGTATTCACACCCAGATTCAGTGTCATTTCCAGTGCTATGTACCTGCTGAGTATCCTCCAGGGAGAAAAATTCAGATGCAAGTACAGATTGAATTCTGAATAACTTGAATACAGAACTTCCAAATATCTCCATTAGCATTGAGATCATTTAAGTTGTATTCATTGTGTATTTGGTACTTTCATAAATAATTACTTTTTGGGGGGTGCCTAATATGTTCAAGGCAAATCATATACATTCTAATCCCTATAGGTGCATATAAGGAATACTTAAATATCCATAAATCATTTAAGCCATGGGTATTATTCTTCCATTCTCCATTCCTGTACTACAAAATGGTTTAGGCCATATTTTCAGAAACCTAGAACACCAGGTCCATCCCACAGCCCTCTGAGCATGCTACTGCAGCTAGAAGGCATCCATCTGCTACTATTAACATTTGCCCTGGAAGTAGCCTTCACTTTCTACTTGACATATGTGATTGTTCTGATGGCCATACAGTGGGTGTTAGTGAGACAGATAACAGGGTAAGGGCACTTCTAGAGAGTGATGAGAATGGTCAGTTTCCAACTTCCGTTTTCATGGATCCCAGTTTTCCCTAAATATAAGACTTTTTTTCTCCACCAGAGAAAATAGACTGTGTTCTCTTTTCATTTCATCTTCAGGACTCTGTTTTCTTAATGTTTCTAAGGTAGCATACAAAGTAATGGGATTCATAGTGACATATCCCCCATGTTCTTGGTTTTTAATCAAAGTTCCAATCACCTTGTCCCACCATCTGTCCTCATCTTGCTAGTCCCCTTCTTTCTCCCCAGTTGTCCCTGTTACTGTCATGTCCCCTGTATAAAGAGTCATCCTTTGTACTACTTTAAGGACTCAGGTTCCCATCTTTTGGTACCCTTTCTAGTGTCATGTCCTACATACAAAATTACACAAGAATACAAATTAAAATGTGGTTACTCATTAAAATTAAAATTGAACATCTGTCTTTCTGCACTTGGCTTTTTTTGTTGAACATGATCATTTATCAGTACCTCTGACTCCTCTCTGAATCCTCACATAGTGCTAACACAGAAATCTCTTGTCTCTTACCTTTCCATAAGGCCACCAGTTCTATTCATCAGAGTCATAGCCGTAGGAACCCACATTAACTCTAGCACCCCTAGGAGAGCTACATTGGGCATTACGGCTTCTACATATTAATGGTGTGTGAGACGGGTGTATGGCACAACTCACCTCATAGCATCTGCCATGTAATATTAATGAAGTCTAGACCTGACTGCAGCACATACAGTTTATGTGTCCCTTGTCTACATTGGTCCAGAGCCCTAAGTGTCATTTATACCATCTGTTCCTCAGATGTGAGCCTTAAATCTGTTATTCTCTGAAAGCTTCTGCCTTTGATGCCATTCAGGCCTGAATTTGTACTTAGCATCTATTAATGCTTCAGCCTCTAGTCCCACACCAATTGGGCCACCTTCCTTTGATTTCTGCTAAATAACTACTTCATCATCTCTTCGTGTTCATATGAAGTCCCGAATCTCTGTCCGTGTGTCTTATGTTTTTCTAAAGTGACACCTTGACCTCTGGTCCTGTTGGGTATGCTAGTCAGTCATAAGGGAGGAACAGCCTCTCCTGCATGCTTCGTGTATGGGGATAGCATCCACCAACTGAATCCACTGAAACTATAAACCCAAAGTAACCTTCCTTCTTTCCTTTATTTTTCTCAGGCATTTTGTCAGCAATGGAGCAGTAACTACTAGTCCAGTGTAGCTCAGTGGTAGAGCACTTGCCTTGCATGCATGAGGACCTGGGTTCAATCTCTAGAACCAGATATTACCACTTACTTCTAAAAAAGGTAAGATTAGAGCATTGATCTACACTGAGCCTCAGTCTCTTGCATAAATGAAGGTCACATGTGTTCTCAAGAAAATCCAGATTCTCCTATACCACAGAATTTGAATTTGTCACCTGTGTGCAGACAGGGGAGGAAGTATGCACTGACCAGAAAAATGAATAAGATGGCCATGACTATACACATTTCTAGTGGAACATGGCAAGTGACAGATGATCATGGTGATGACCTGAATATGTGTGTACAAATACAAAGAAACGCATTAAAATAAGCAAATGAGCCGGACGTTGGTGGCGCTCGCCATTAATCCCAGCACTCAGGAGGCAAAGACAGGTGGATCTCTGTGAGTTCGAAGTCAGCCTGGTCTACAGAGGGAGTTCCAGGACAGCCTCCAAAACAATACAGAGAAACCCTGTCTAGAAAAACCAAAAATAAATAAATAAATAAATAAATAAGCAAATGAACTCTGCTCAGTAGTCCTGAGTAAGGAAAGGGCAATGTTCTTCAGTACAGAGGATGTCCATGGTTCCTAAGACAGGTACAGGGCAGACAAACAGCAGTATGCAATAGCAATATGCCTCACTGAATGAAATATTGATAGATTTCTTTTATTATATTTGCATTTATTTACTCTGTGTGTGTGTGTGTTCAGTTGTGAATGTCAGTTCTCTCTGTCTGCCATGTGGGTCTTTAAGATTGAACTCAGGTAGTCAGGCTTGGCAGCAGGATCCTTTACCACTGAGCCATCTGGCCTGCTTGAAACATTGGTATTGTACCAGAGTGGTTTTTACACAGTAAGAATAATACTAACAGAGTGCTTAGCATGTAGTATCCCCAGTGCTAACCAGATGTCATAAAGCAAAATATATGCTTAAAGATGGCCTGTCAGCATACAAATGAACTTTGGGGTCCCATTCTACATGGAGGGATGCTCTCTCAGCCTGGACACATGGGGAGGGCGTAGGTCCTGCCCTGGATGAAATGACAGACTCTGGAGATCCCCCAAGGAGGGCCTTACCCTTCCCGGGGAATGATGTGAGGATTGGGCTAGGGGCGGGGTGGGAGGGGGCTATAAATATATTTATTAAAATTTTAAAAAGATGGCATGTCAGAGGAAAAACAATTCTAATGAGACTTGACACAGTGACAATAATACATAGGGAAGGCTTGGGACAAAGTTCTGACAGGGTGCTTGACACATCCTACAAAATTGCTAAGAGAACACTTGACAAATAATATGAAAACTGATGCCTGGCTCTTAGAACTACAATAAATTTTATTAAGTAAACATGGAATAAGTAAATATATGTATATCTCTACATATAACTTATAGTTAGGCTTTTGGAGTTATGGCTCTGATACTGAATTTCCACCACATTCTTCTCATCCTGGGCTTATTTTGACTCTCTGTGGTTGAGACAAGAAAGAAAAGAAATGCTAGTGAGTTCACACTGCCTACTCACTGGTCTTTTCCTCCTGTCCTTCAAAGCCTACATGAATTCCTAAGTCAAAGGAAGATATGGCCTGTGCTTTGAAAGCTGACCTGGGATTGGGGAACCCACAGCATCCTGGGTAGGGAAGGTCTCCAAATAACCCAGCTTTACAGTAAAGGAAACATAACATATTACTTCAGCTTCAGTGTTGCACCCCAAAGGACTACAAGTAGATGATTGATCCAATACCATACGAGAAAAGTGTGTATTCTGGGTTTGGAAGATGTGTCAAAGGACCACTTACATATTCAATAATCATCATCATCATCGTTGTTGTCATCGTCATCATCACCATCATCATCTTCTTCGGGGTCACTGATCTCTTCATATATCACTCGAGTCTTCCTTTCCCGCAACCGATGGCTCCAGGCATTTACCCGAACGGTACTGACTCCTGAAATAGGAAGGGATTAGTGCATGAGAGCTAGATAGTTTAGGGCCTTGTTTTGTCAGAAAAGAACAGGGCTTGTTCCTCCCATGAGCCCATAGGCCTTCTCCATTGCCTGTTTTTTATATCTGCTGACTCACAAAGACTGAGATGTTAGCTATACAGCAGTACAGACCAAAGGCCACTTCAGGTTATATCATCCAGTGTACTGTTTGGTCCCCCTCCTCCATCATGTGGTATAGATGTCCCATTTTATCTTCATTGGAAGGAGGACCCTGTGATCATTCTCTTATATGGATTTAAGACGTGAACCCCAGAGTATGTAGAAGACTTGTCCAGTGTCGCATGGCTTTCAGAAGGACAAGTCGAATTATGATTATGGAGACCCATTCTAACATCTGAACATCTGAACTGGTGCTGGATGACCTCCTCACCCAGAAAAGCCTGGGATATTTCAGGACCCATGCCACACACCCAGAACATGCCAGGAAAACCAGAATATTGTTTCTTCCATGATTTCCTCTCATCTAACGTCACTCTACTCTCTGTTCACAAAACATGTGCTTTCTCGTAGGTGTGCAGGTGTCTCTGGAACCTTCCAGAGCCTAGTGCACCTGGAACTCATTTTGGGTTCTTTTCTTCCCATGCTGCCTTCTTCAGCATTTTTTAAACACTAAAGCACTTGTTCAGGCTGTCAGTAGCATTTCTATATTATCTTAGAGGTTAAGCATCATCTCATTTTTCCTAAAGGTTATATTAGCATATATTAATTATATATGCTATTACTTTCAATATGATATTTTGATATGCATATATAATGTGTTTTGATCATGTATCCTCCTCATTAACCTCTTTTGACTCATGCCAATGCCCTTCCTCCCCACTGCTAGATTCCCTTTTATTTCGTAGTGGTTGGTATTGATGGGGCTCAATGAGTTTAATTAGACTCACATACATGTGCTTTGGGCCTCATTGGTCTTGTCCCTTGGAAACTGTTAACTGCCTTCATATCCTCCGAGAGGAGCAGAACCTGGTGAACCCCTCTTTCCGTGACAGAATGTTGAAGGGCTCAGTCTTTTGCAAGTGTTTTTTATGGATTTTCATAACATGCTAATTGTGCCTAATGAAGTATTTCATTTTTTGTAGCTAAGTGAAAAAGAACACAGGAGCTTAAATGGGAAAGGAAGGTCCTTAGTATATCATGTTTCTGAGACTGAATGTTTGCTTTTATATTCTTCATAGACTGTCATTTATGCAAGCAAAAGAGATGTGCGTTTAAGTGTGGAATAAAGATGATTTGGGGAAGAAAAGCACTGGAGGAATTCATGGGTTCTGTGAAAGGCAGACAGTCTATGAAATATAAGGCTTCACACATAAGCTTGTACTTCACTACATGGACAATAATTAAAAGAGTGAATAGAAGGAAGGAGACAATACTGTACCATGATAGTGTGTGCAGACAAATGCAGGCAATGGAGAAAAACAGAAAGGAGACGTGTTGATCAAGGTATCAAAGAATGTGTTGCCAAGTGTGTTACTACACAGGACATTGGTGAGAACACTTCATGTGAAGTTAGATAAGGTAGCACCTGCACCATTTCTGCTGATATCAAGATGTGTCATTGGTCACTCATCATAAGCTGCCTTTCATTCAACTTCCTGATTCATGCATGAGAGAGTCTGTGTATAACTGAAAGAACATTGTTTCTGAGCTTGGAAACACAACTTACTGTCCTTTATTTTACATTTTTATTTATGTGTATGTGTGCATGTCTCTGTATATATGTGACACATGTGTGGGTGTGTGTGTCTGGAGAGGCAAGAGTACTGCGTGAGATCCTCTGGAACTGGAGTGACAGATAATAGTGAGCCACCCAATGTAGGTGCTAGGAACTGAACTCTAGTCCTCAGGAGCTGCAGCAGATACCCTTAACCACTGAGCAATCTCTCCATACCCCCTCTTTATTTCTTTTGTTTTTTTTTTCATTTGGTTTTGGTTTTGAGACAAGATCTCTTCATGTACCCTAGAAAAGTGTTGGTCTAATGACCCTACAGAGCTTTGCAATTATAGGCATGCCAAACACACCCAAATGGAATGTTTAAATGATATAATAGTAAAACTGAATATGTGATCTTATAACCCCTTCTTTTCATTGAATCTTTAACTGTCCTCACTGGCTGCTAACTCTCAGCTCCCTTAACTCTCTATACTAGACTGGAACCTGCAACTGTAGAAACTCCCATTTCATAGTCAGGTGTCTCTGTGGGTTTCTCTAAGGTAGATCACAGTGGGAGGAGTCCACAGTGAAAGGCCTGTAATTTCCAGCAGCAAAGTGCATGGTCCATTTATAGAGCAGAAGCCAGCTAGTGATTCCTGCTTGGAAAGCGTCAGGATGAAAGAATGAACAGACTCTGGATTTCAGAAAAGAAAGAAGACATGAGTGCGTTTCAGTGGTCTGGGCTATGGACTAGAGAGCTAGTGAAGTGCTGCTCATGTCACATTTAGCACAGTTGTGCTGAGCCCCATTATCATTCCTCTAGTTATTAGAATGCTGTGACTGAAGAAATGCTGGCCTGGTACTGTAAATCTGACAAGAACCTATGGTTGCACAGACCCCATAGTGAAAACCCATTTCTATGATTTTGCTAAATGAATGTAGTAGAAACTGACGTCTAAATTCCTGTCTCTCTACCCATAGATAGCTCTCAGACGTTAACAGAGAAGTGCTGTTGTTCAGTGAGTAGTGGCTAATACAGACACTCCCAACTGGTTAGACTGCAGAAAATAAGTGTCTATGGATTGCTCAGCTAAACATTGAACATATATGTCATGCACCTTCCTCCCAAGCTCAAGAACCATTGCAGAAGAGGAGAAAACTTATAAGAAGCAGAAGACAGGGAGGACCAGAGCAATATAGTGTTTTATGGACATGACAGGATTGTTACACTCATGAAGTCACAGGAGGTGTCTTTGCCCACATAAGACCTGCATAGGATTGAGCCTGCCAGCATTCTAGCATGGAGTGAGTAGGGACTCTTAAACTCCCACCCCTTTGTGAGTAGCTGTTGATGATAGACGGCTTTTGTGGGAGGGAGAGTCAGTTTTCTTTAAGAGCGTGGTTGTTAGGCCAACCATACTCTAGTGGATGATTCCACATCACACAGTATACAGACAGCACAAATTAGGCTTGGTTGATTATAAAAACCAAAAACATGAAATTGAGGAGTGTGGGAAAGTGAGAAACACTTCTAGTAAAGATGTTTTATGTTCATGAGATGAGAGAGTAGGGTATGTGTGAATATGATCAAAGTATATTTTATGAAATCCTCAAAGAATTTTTAAAAAATACCATATTGAAAAAGAATTAAGAAATTATGTTAAGGAACAGGAATTAGATTACATCCAACCTGGCATAATGGAAGAAGCTGAAATAGAATCTCTGCCACCAAGTTTTCCACGTATATCACAAAGATCTACTGTCACTCTTGTCAGCTACAAAATAAATAAGAACATCACATACCAAATTAACAAGACCCAAAGTGTAGACAACCTAATGAACTTCCATACAGTTAGAATTGGCATTTGCAACATATGGTGCTTTACATTAAAATTTACACTTTAAGTATCAAATATATTTTACACACTTATCCACCGCCAAAAAGAAACCTATTCTCCACAACATGGGCATGAACTGAAGGACAAACATGGTGCATTCATACAGAAACAGGTGACACTCACCTTTATGCGTTTTATCTGTTGTGTGTAAAAATCATCTTCAGAATCTTTCTCTATGGAAAGTGACAAGTCAGAAGGTTTTGTTTGTTAGTAAATATTTCCAAACTTCAGAATCCTGCCAATTTAGGGAATGCTGGAGTGGAGAGTTACAGCCCACTCATGAAGCAGGAGCTGATGGGGCATGACTGTCTTTGACTTTACTAATGACATAGGCATTATCCATATTATCACTGTATAAGTCTCCTTATGATTGTTTATGAAATGTTCCTTCAGCCTCATCACTGCCTCATCCTATCCGAGTACATTTCCTTTACCTCATAATATTAAATTGGTTTCAGGAAATTTTGACTTGTCTGTACCTTCAGGTGTGGAATAACAGAAAACCTAACAGATGAAATGATTTGAATATTCAGGTATTAACTGCATGAGGAAGGATAAGGGTTTCAGTTCAGTGTTTTGGGGGGCTATCTAGTGTAATAATTCTCGTTTGCTCTCAAAAACTGGGCAGAAATTACAGGCCTAGAGTTTGCGATCAAGTAAAGTGCTTGTGGGAGCTTTTGCAGTCTGACTTGCTTTCCTGGGGAGTCACTCTGTGTGTGTGTGGGTGGTGTGTGTGTGTGTGTGTGTGTGTGTGTGTGTGTGTGCACGCACGCACACGTGTGATCTCTGTGACAGTGTCTGCATGTGTGTGTGTAGGGGGACTTGTCTGCCTATGTTTAGGATGTGGTACAAGACATTTCAACTGAAGATGTTACACATTTGCCATTTACTTATTATCCAAAATAATGTACATTCTCTTTGATGTTTTAGACTTTGATATGACAGAGTCTTCTGCATAATCCTCTGAATGAACTCTTTTCCACACAGCCCTAACCTGAAGAAGAAAAGACATGCCTGTGACCTTACCAGGCATCTTGCCTGGAAAGGCCATCTTCACATCCCCTCCCTGACCACTCACCTTTACCGTTCGCTTCCACCTGTTCCTTGCAACGCATGAAAACTGGTTGGTTGACTTTGACCCCTAAGAAGACGCAAAGTACTTGTTTTATTTTCCATTTTTTAATTTTTTTTACATTCCAACCATAGTTCTCCCTCTCACCCTCCTCCCACCCTCTCACCTCTTCCCACCCCACCCCCATCACCTCCCCTCTATCCCACCCCCAGTTCACTCCTCCTCATGGGCAAGGGCTCCCATGAGGAGTCCACATAGTCTGGCACAATAGGTTGGGGCAGGGCCAGGTCCCTCTCCCATGCATTAAGACTGAGCATAGCATCCCACCATAGGGAGTGGGCTCCAACAGGCCAAGGGCTTGTTCTTTAACAGACAGGACAAGAGGGGCAATGCAGCTAGAATCTGGGATGCAGCACAGACCTTAAGGCCCACAAGAACAAGAGACTACAGGAAAGAAAAGTGTGGGCTGCAGGCCTGAGCTCTAGTGTCTGTGGTCTGTGCTCTCAACCCTGAACAAAATGGGAGAGAGCAGCATGCTCAGGTAGCACCTTAACATTTCTCCACAATGAGAAGTATGGTGCAGGAGAGGGACCTGCTACGTGCTGATGAGAAACCGTGGCATAGAAAATAACTGGGAGACACCCAGGCTTGTCTGAACCCAGAACTTCCTGTTACCTAAGCCAGTCATTCTGATGTAGTTTCTCTTCATATACATGTAGACACTTTTCTGCCAGTTTGTCAGCTTTGCCCACTCTTCCTCCGAAAAATATGTACAAATATCCTGGAAGGGCTAGAAAAGAAGGAAATGGAAATTCTGACAATTATTCTGCTGGACATATGTGCCATTCATCCCAGAATGCCATCTGTGTCGGGGGAACTCGGTGGTCCACCTAGAAAATCAAGATAATTGATCCTGGGGAATGTGAGGGCCAGGTGAGACATGTGAATTACACTGGAAATGCTCAGTGCTGCTTATTTCTTCTTTCTCCCCACACATACTTACAAGGGGCTGTGTCATCAAATGCATTTAGTACTAGATCACCAACCTGAAATCCTCAAGGATTCTGTAGAAGAACATGATGAGCATGTGTGTGTGTAGAAACACATTCTGAGACTTATGGAGGTCCTGTGGAGACTTTGGTCCTTGTCCTGAATGTCCCTACTTTCTACCCTCTGAGAAATCTCTCTACAGTGGCCCTTGGTCACTCAGTTGCTTCTGTCCACACCTTGCCTGGTCACCATACCTGAAATACTTTCTTTGGTTCATTAGTCTCTTCCGCAGGTCTCTCTCCATGGCAACACTCTGCTTTCATGTTGGCGGGATCAGAGATATTCTGAAGACCCTATCTGATTTTCTTCCAACACAAAATGTCCTGAGAAGGAAGGAGGAAAGTAACACTCAGTACGTGAAATTTCCTTGTGCTCCTTTTCATCCTGACATCGCTTACCCCTGATTAGATCTATGGGAGAATTAGTGGTTAGGAGTTAGTTGGATTCTATGAGCATGGATGAAGTTAGTCTCTGAGAATGGGTCAAGCTTCTGTCCTGATTAGTTGCCCTGCAGTGTTCCCTGAGATTAAGAGAAAAGAGAAAGATATTGAATTGAGCAAGCACAGTCCCATGTTCTCACCTGTATGAAGAAAGTGAAACTGATTTCATAGAAGCTAAAGCGGTTGCCAGTGGGAGACGGGTGGTGGGGCCTTCAGAAGAAAGTACAACAAGCCCAAAACATGCAGCGACGAAGATACCTACTGGTGTTTTGCAGTACACTTTCGTGACTAGTTTATATCTCTATATGATCAATTTGTAAGGAAGGAAAAGAGCAGCCAAAGTTTCCTTCCTATGCCTATCGAACAAGGTAGTTGGAAGGTTGAGGTAGAAGGGTCCTATGTTCAATGCCTGCCTGAGCTACAAAGTGAAATCAAGGCCAGACTGGGCAATACATAATTAAATCCCACAGGACTCCTACCTACCATGTAATAGGCCCTTGCATTAATTTCCCAGTTTTTCCAGAAAATAGTAGGAGAGGTTATAAAACTTCACTAATGTAGAAGTGATAAATACATAAGTACGGATACATATGAATTACTCATATTTGATAAGCACACCCATGCGTATCTTGAATCACCATACTGTATTTTAATTGCATGTGCATTATTGTATATCAATTAAAATAAATTGTGAACAAAACTCAGAACAAATTCTCTTAGGAAGCTAGGCTTGGTGGTGAACACTGTGTTCCTAGCACTTAGGGTAATGAGACAGGAAGATGGGGAGAGTTCAAGGCCTTCCTGTACTACATATAAGAGACTTGGTCTCATAAAAAAAGAGCAGTGTAAAAACTAGCATGTCTATGTTAGATAAGCAGCAAATGGACTTCAAAATATGTTTTAATATTACTTTTTGAGGCGTATTAGTATGTGTACCCATGCATTCACGTGTCATCATATGTCTGTGATGGTCAGAGAGCATCTTACAGGAGTCTATTCTCCCTTTCTACCATGTGGATCCTGACTATAAAATTTAGGCTTGGCAACTGGCACCTAACAAAATAAGAATGCTGTCTCTTCATTAAGTTATTTTCCTTTGTAAATGTTTTTATTTTGTATTGGCTTTTGTGGCTGGATTTCAAAAGATGGCTTTCATCCTGACCTACTACTCATTCATGTATACCATTATTCTTTTCTTACATTTCACCTTCCATGCTCCTTTCCTGCAGCTCCTTCCAGCTTTGGTAGTTCCTTAACTTCCCACCATCAATTCCTTCCTGGCCTCGAGGCTATTAGGTACATATCATTAGATGTAGACTTATCATGTGGAAGACAACCTTAGATATTTATTGTTCTATTTTTCAATTTCAGTCACTTGCTCTCCTCTCTACCCAGAATTCTTTCCTTCATCCGTAAATAAATGCTTTAACTTTTATTTAAAAAAATTAACAGACAATAAATTTTTAAACAAAAGACACATTTCTGGAATTTAAATCCATGTGTCTACATCATTACCAATTCTTGATTTTTCCCCCTTAAGACATAGTATGGATATGATGCTAAGCTGACAGAGAAACTCTGGGCTCAAATAATTCTCTGTATCATCCTATTAAGTAATTTAGATGGATGGCTTTGGTACAGTATCCTGTAACATGTGCAGATATGTTGTGGTGTATTCTGAGGTAAAGTTGGTGAGGAGGTTGCCACATATTTAATGGTCTCCCCGGGTAATGGTTTTCAGAGGTCAAGGAAAGGGATATATGACTCTGCTGTGCCAAAAAGGGGTGGATCTGGTAAGTAGAGTGTGAACTACTAGGCTAATTTAGGAATTCCTGCTGAGATAAAAGAGCTGGAATCACCACATCTACAGGACCAACTGTCAGACAGAGTGAATTTGGTGTCCCAATGTACAGGGGTCCTTAAACTGAAGTCATCAGAAAAGTTGTAGGGAGTGGACATTGAGGTATCTATGGGACCATGAAGATGGCAGCTTTATTCAAGGAGAAGTTGGGAAGTAGCCCCTCTAACAGAGACTATTTGATATCACTAAGGATGGAGGAAATCCCAGGCATATAGTTTGTGAAGCTAAGAGGCTTCCCTCAGAAACAGTGGCACATGAGTCTCTCACATGGTTATAGTTTCTAGGATTCTTAAGGAATTGCCTGGTAAGGGTTTAGCTCACAGCACAGTACTAAGTATTGAAGATAGCTGAAGACACAAGAAAGACACAAGTACTTGGTTGATCTACACAGGCTCCTAACTTTTCTATCTGCTCAGGTTTAAATTATTGGGGTATCCCTCAGAAAGAACTTACCTTAGACACGAAGGGATGAGGAAGTCTTTCTCCAGAAAGAGACCAAGTGCCTTGATTCAGCTGACCCTAGAAAGAAAAGCAGCCCTCTAGAACTGTCTGTCTCTAAGGATGTCTCAGGAAAGTGAGTGGGGCCAGTGAGGTAAGAATGGAGTGGAGGGGTTCCCAGGGTTCCGGGGCAGAAGTACATCACAAAGGGGGTGTACGCCCGCCTAACGTGTCATCGTATCCCTTCATAGCACTGGCTATCCAGGGCCTGCTGACCTGTTGAGATGTACATTTCTATGGCTATATGGGCTTTCCCTGTGTCTAGACTATAATTCCACCCTCTACTGTGCAATTGTTCACCTAAAAAACAAAAGCTTACCATTTCAAATCCTTCTCCACAGTCCTCCTTAATCAGTCTAACCTGGGATCTCTGTACAATAAATTCATAACATTTAAATTATTTATTAAGAAAATTATTAAATGTGAACATATTCCTATATGTGCTATCTCCCCAAAGACCCAAAAGCTTGTTTTCTATGGATATTCTTATGAATACAATGCACAGTGTGCATGTGATTAGAGTTTATTTTGCTCCTTAAGTGCGTCCATTAGGAAGGTTTCTCTAATAATATATGCCTCCGTTGGCATCTAAAACTTTCTAGACTTCCATTTCTGTCAGGAATGCCCTACTCAGAATGACTAAGACTCCTTCAGCCAAGGAAATGGTCCATGGACCTTAGAACCACTAATAAAACTTTCACTGCATAATCTCTTTGTGGTTTTTTTCTGGCTTATTTTTTATTTAAATTAAAAACCAATCTTTTTTTACATATCCCAGTTCCCTTTCCCTCCTGTCCTCCCATTCCCCCTATCATCTCCCCACCCCACCCCATCCACTCCTCAGGGAGGGTGAGGGCTCCCATGGGGGATCATCAAAGTCTGTCACATCATTTGGGGCAGGGCCTAGACACTCCCCCATGCATCTAGACTGAGAGAGTATCCCCTCATAGGGAATAGGCTCCCAAACTCATGCACTAGGGATAAATTCTGGTTCCACTGCCAGCAGTCCCATAGACTGCCCAGGACTCCCAACTGACACCCATGTTCAGGGCGCCTGGTTCAGTCCTATGCTGGTTCCTCAGATGTCAGACTGGGATCCCTGAGCTCCTATTTGCTCAGGTCAGCTGTTTGTATGGGTTTCCTCAGTCTGGTCATGACACTTTTACTTATCACTTCTCCCTTTCTACAACTGGATTCCAAGAGTTCGGCTCAGTGCTTGGCTGTGGATCTCTGCTTCTGCTTCCATCAGCTACTGGATGAAGGCTCTGTGATGGCATTGAAGGTAGTCATCAATCTCATTATAGGGGAAGGGCATTTAAGGTAGCCTCTCCACTATTGCTTAGATACTTAGTAGGGGTCATCCTTGTGGGTCCCTGGGAATTTCCCTATTGCCAGGTTTCTTGTTAATCCCATAATGGCTCCCTCTATCAAGTTATCTCTTTCCTTGCTCTCCTCTATTCTTCCCCCAACTCAATTTCCTGAACCCTCATGTTCTCTTCCCTCCCCTTCTGTATACATACAGAAGTCTGTATGTATCCTAGGGTTTTCTATCAGCTTGGCATCATAGCCACACAATATCGCAAAGGGAAAAAAATCATAAGAATACACCTAATGATGCATGTACATGGATTGATGTTTAAGCATTTTCCCAGAAACATGTATAATTTCTTGATTCAATAAAAGGTTGAGAGGATGAAGAGATCACTCAAGAGGAGCGAAGAGCACTGGCTGTTCTCCCAAATGACCCAAGTTCAGTTTCCTGCATTCATGTAGGGCAGCTCACAACTAACTGTAATGACAGCTGAAGGGTATCCGTTGCCCTTTTCTGGCCTCCACAGTCCCCAGGATACACATTGTGCACACACACAACACATATATATACATATAAAGAAAATTATTTCTAAAATGAAAATTTAGCTGGTCATAGCGGCGTATGCCTTTACCCTCAGCACAAGGAAGTAGAAGCTGGCAGATCTTTATGAGTTCAAGAACAACCTGCTCTACACTGAGAGTTTCAAACTAGTCCCAGCTATATAGTGAGACCCTGTGTGGTGGTTTGAAAGAGAATGATCCCCAGAGGCTCCTACATTTGAATGCTTGGTTCCCAGCTGGTAGAACTGTTGAGGAAGGATTTGGAGGTATGACCTTGTTGGAAGAGGTGTGTCACTGGGGGAAGGCTTTGAAGTTTCAAAGCCCACACCTCTTCCAGTTGACTTTCTCCCCCACCACTCTGGCTTGTGTTTGTGCCTCAAGATGTAAGCTCCCAGATAGTGCTCCAGCACCATGTCTACCTGCCTGCTGCTGTGCTCCCCACCATGAAGGTCGTGTACTCCCTTCTGAAATGGTGAGCCCCCAATAAACTCTTTCTTCTATGAGTTATCTTGGCCATGATATCTTATCACAGCTATATAAGAGTAAGACAGAAGCTGGACCAGGGAGTAGGATATTGCTGTGATTGGCCTCAACATGATGTTCTCTGGTGGGATCTGGAAGCCTTTTTGAGGCTAGACTAGGAAAGCTGCTGAATGCTCTAAGCAGGGCTAAGAAACTAATAGAAGTTTGGAAGACAGAGGTTCTGAGAGCAATGTGAGTTATTAAGACCCTAAAGGTGAACAATACTAGCAATTAGGCTTGAGAACATTCTTGTGATATTTTGGTAAAGAATATGGCTGGGCTTTTTCCCTTGTCCTAAGAGTCTGCCTGAGGCTAAATTAAAGAATTTTGGTCCAATTTCATTGGCAGAGGAGATTTGAGGACAGCCTAATATTGCTTCTGTTGTGTGGCAATCAGCAACCACTTTTATGCAGAACTACAGCAAAAAAGAGAAAGCTGGGCAAAAAGGTACAATTTGTACTAAAAGAGGTAGTAGGAGGCCTGATGCAGGGTGTAACAAAGGGGGTGGTGTTCTCAGAGCAAGCCCTCCACCAGCTAAGCTTTCAAGTTGTAAAAAGAAAAGGCCTAAAGAATTATATGTCAATAAAAGGCATCAATAAATCAAAGCTTATGAATTATAATTCAAGGTGGGCACCAGGTTCCATCCAAAGCAGGCAGCCATACTTGGCAACATCATCCAGATGGTACTGGCTTTAGAGTCAGGAAGGGTACTAGAGTAAAGGGGTTGAAGAATCTTCCTCCACAGTTAAGGAATGTTATAAAGCCAAGCATGTGGCAGGCAGCCCCTGCGTAGAGGCACTGAGAGACCATTGCATGGAGCTCTGAAAGTGAAGTCTGGATAGTGTTCAATACCCCAAGATGTTGGAGATTTCAGAGATTATCCGCCAAGGATCACTGCAGACAGGAAGTAGAGCCAGTTATAATCAGCAAAACTGAAGAGGTAGGCATCTAAGCTATTTGACGTCAGAGCTACAGGATTTGGAGTTTGTCCTACTGGGTTTTGGTGTTGCATTGGCCCAGTATTTCCTCACGATGCCCACATTTCTATCTTTTGGAATTATAGTGTATTTTCCTTGAAATTGTATATGGGAAATATAATTTGCTTTTTGATTTTCCAGGGGGTTGCAATTAAGAGGTTACTTTGAGTCTCAGAAGAGACTTTGAGCTCTTAAACTGTGTTGAGACTGTGAAAGTCTATGGAAGCTTTTCAAATTGGATTAAAGAAAGTTTTACACTATGATATGAGCACAAGCCTGTGAGGATCATGGAGTAGAATGTGGTAGGTTGAATGGGAACAGCCTCCATAGGCTAGTGTATTTGAATACTTGGTCCTCAGTTGGTGGGAAGGATTTGGAGATGTGGCCTTGTTGGAGTAGGTGTGACTTTGAGGGAGGAGGTGTGTTGCTCTGCCCTGAGCTCTCAAGTTTCAAAAGGCCAAGCCAGGCCCAGTGGCTCTGTCTTCCTCCTGCCTTCAAATCAGGAGATAGATCTCTCAAGGTACTTCTCCAGTACCATTATCCCAGTGTGTCATTCCCACATCCTTTCAGTCTTTATTCAGGATCTCCTCACAAAGCCCAGAATGGCTTTGATCTCGAAGTCAAGGTAGTTCTTTAACAAGTGATCCTTCTTTCTCTGCCTCCAGATTATCTTTCAGGTCTGTGAAACCAGACCTACCTTCTCTCATACTTTATTATATAACTAATCACAGCATCTTATGAACTAAAGATGCTCAAAATGCACTGTGAAATATTGCTGCTTGGAATAGAGAGACATGGCTCAGGCACAAAGGTTCTTGCATAGCCAGCCTTACAATCTGAGTTGGATCCCTTGAAACCATACAAAGATGGAAGGAGAGAGCCAACTACACAAACTTATTGTCTGACATTCACACAGTAGCACATGCACACGCCTAAGTACATCAGGAACGCATGTAGTGGTAGTAAATTATTTTAAGACCCACTAGAACTTAGACCTCCTCTCCAACTATATTTGGTACTTATCCTACCTATTTTTGATGAACTCTTCATTGCCAACCCTCTAGTGACCAGTGTTTGATTTCTTTTATAAATTTATTTATTTGTTTGTTTGCTTGTTTTACAGCCCAGTCACAGTTTCCCATCCCTCCTCTCCTCCCAGCCCCCTCCCACTCCAACCCCTCTGTTCGCACCCCCCAATCCACTCCTCCCCCATTTATGTTTAGAATATGACAGGTATCCTTGAGTATCAACAAAACATGGCATATCAAGTTGCAGTAAAGACCGAGTGTCTCCCCATGTATTAAGGCTGGGCAAGGCAACCAGTATGGAGAGTAGAGTCCCAAAAGCCAGTAAAAGAGTCGGAGACAGCCCCTGTTTCTGTTGCTAGGAATGCCACAAAAGGGGCAAGCTATACAACTGTCGCATATATACATAGGGCTAGGTCAGTCCTATGCAGATTTTCTGGTTGTTGGTTCAGTCTCTGTGAGCTCCTATGAGCCCAGGTTAGTTGATTCTGTGGGTTTTCTTGTGATGTCCTTTACTCTTCTGACTTTTCCTTCCACATATGGATGAGAACTTTGTGGTTTCTGCCCTCCTGTGCCTGCTGTGTCCAGAAAACACCTCACCCCTCACAGAGACTCAAGGACTCTTCACACATTCATTGTGAAGGGTATCCTTTTCAGTCAAGATGGCTGAGAAGGTTATAGACATCTCCTTTTTTCTTCAGATCAGGACTGTGTGGACAGGATTTCATTTGTAAGAATACCTAGAAGGGTATGTCACATAAAATTCTAAAACAATAATAAAGAAAGTATATTATCATAGATGATGAGTAAATGGCAAACATGCACCACCTTCAGTTTGAGTGTGCACTGTCCTGTATGGCATCTAAACACAGAGTCAAGAGTCACATTTCACCCTATATATACACATGAAGACACTGATATTTTCCATGGGTTACAAATCTCTCTCTCTCTCTCTCTCTCTCTCTCTCTCTCTCTCTCTCTCTCTCTCTGTCTCACACACACACACACACACACACACACACACACACACACCTAGTTTATCTTATCAGGCAATATAAACCTCATAGGATAAAACTGGGCATGGTCAGTAGCCCAGAGCCTTGTACTTTTTAAAGAACTAATGAATTCAGGGCACAGGAGACAAGATGTGTTCTCATGTTCTTCTCTAACATAAAACCTCCAAGACATTCAGGGGTTCCTAACTGCTGGTATTCAGGCTTTACAGGGAAGAGGAAAGAGTTCATGACTGAGGTCAGTGGGAATTCATTAGCATTTCTTTTTTTTCTTTTTTCCAAAACAGGGTTTCTCTGTGTAGCTCTGGCTGTCCTGGAACTCACTGTGTAGAGCAGGCTGGCCTCAAACTGGTAGCTCTGCCTGCCTCTTCCTCCCAAGTACTGGGATTAAAAATGGCATGTGCCACCACCACCATGCTCATTGGCATTTCTTTACCTTCTCTCTCCTTGTCTCAATTCCAGGAAAGTGAAAGAAAACTGATTGTGAAGAAAAGAGCATTCAGGATCATGGGCTTTAAAACAAACAAAAGGAAATTGTCCAATAGTGAACTATTATTGTTCTGTGCCAAGCACACTCTCAATCCTGATTCTGTTTTCCTAAGGTTTATTTTACTTTTCCTGTGTGTGTGTGTGTGTGTGTGTGTGTGTGTGTGTGTGTTGGTCTGTGTTGGTCTGTTCATATGTATGCTGTTTCTGTGCATGAAGAGAGAGGTTGATGGACAAAGAGAGGGAGGGAGGGTGAGAGAGAGAGAGAGAGAGAGAGAGAGAGAGAGAGAGAGAGAGAGAGAGAGAGAGAGAACATGCCTATGAAGCCTGGAGAGTTTGACAGATCCCTTAAAGATGGACTTATGTGTGGTTGTGTTTCCAGATGTATGCTCTTGGAACCCAACTCAAGTCATCTGGAAAAGCAGCAAGTATTTTTCACTGCTGAGACATCTCTTCAGCCACCAAAAGCCTGGCTCTTACAATGTTCAAAATTGGTTAGTAATTCTCTTACCCCTTTATATCACCATTGCTCTCATTTTGTGCTACTCAATATGCATTATTTTCACCATTTGTGGGGCATTCTATAAACACTGCTCTGCCTGAGTGACAATCATTGTGTTAGCATTTTTCATGCTCTCTGTCAAACATTCTGTTCCACTGGTCTGACTATGTCAAGCACCCATAAGCCTTGTCATTAGTTGGTGCCAGCACATATATCATTATAAGTGTACCCAACTGAAGAATGAATGAAATATGTCAAAAAAAGAACACAGTTGAATCCTCAGATTATGAAGTTGAGTGAAAGAATCCCAACAATGTGTGCACTCAATGTGTGTTAGAGCTTTGGGTATCAACCACTGGTGGTTTTTTTGATGGGGGAAGTCTTCTGTACATGTTTCTCTTATTGGTTGATGAATAAAGCACTGTTGGCCAATAGGAAAGCAAGATAGGAGGCAAGGAGAATTCTGAGAAATGTAGTAAAGAGAAGTAGCCATGTGATCCAGGCAGGAAGTGACATAGCAGGCAGAATCAGAATATAAGCAGGGACAAGCAGGAAATCACTCTCTTCTCTTCTCTTCTCTGCGAAAACACTGAGCAGACACGATGTAGACCCCAACAGAGTAAGAGACCCGGACCTTATCTCAGGCAAGATAAGACGATGTGAAAATACTTGGATTATTAGAAAATAGGTAAATAATTAAGACTGAGCTAGCCAAATAAGAAACCTTAGCCAATTGCCAACAGTTTAATAACAAATATAGAGTCTGCATGTTTCTTTGGGGCAGAGAAGGGTGGCAGGACCTATCTGGGCCAAGAAAGCCTCATGTTACATTTTCTGGAAGGCTGTAGAACTTTTTGGACAGGGACCCAGTGGTTAGACATTGTTACATAGGGATTAGGCTTAACACTATAGACTAGACCCTTTTCCTGACCAAGATTAGTGAGATATGCCACAAACTCCTGCAACCACAGAGCCCTAGCTTCCAGGCCTCCCCACAGGGTAGACGGTATTCCCTTCAATGATGGGTCAAAAGGAATCCTTTCCCACTTTTAGTTGCTTCTTTTGATATTTGATCAGAAATGTAGCACATTAATACAGAAAGCTCTCATCAAGAAGTAGGGGCATAAGCCGGGCAGTGATGGTGCACACCTTTAATCCCAGCATTCGGGAGGCAGAAGCATGCGGATCGTTGTGAGTTCGAGGCCAGGCTGGACTGACAGCCTCCAAAACAATACAGAGAAATCCTATCTCAAAAAAAAGTAGGGGCATAGCTATGATAAACAGACCATCAGGTGTTTCACAACCAAGGACTTGTGGACTGACTTTGAGATAAAGACTTGGGGTGGAACAGTCTACTCCCAGTATATTTTGCAAGGAATAGAGATGAAGCAGTCAGCTCTGGGAAAGATAAGGAAGGAGAGAAAGGACTATATTTTAGAACATACCATTTTGTGCTGGAATAAATGAAAGACTCCTGTGTTATAAGAGGTGTACATCTGTGTTAAAATGCCTCCTTCCACATTGAGGCTGTAGGGTCACCCTTCAGCACTGATCAAAGAATTTACCAGTGGTCCTGAAACAATATTTCCAAATGGAAATAATTATTACTTTGTACTATTGAACCATACACAGTCATAGAAGGTGGAATCTCAACGTTCTTACCCTCGTATTCATGTAACCTGGAGACCCTGGTATATGTTAGGCCTTCGCCAGAATTCCAGTATTTGTCTCCCACAGGAAAAGAGGAGTTGGGAATTCATTATGATGTCAGGAACAGTGGGAATGACTATAGTACAAGTTGGGGAGAGAGAAATGTATGTGCTCAGTATCTAGTCCCAGACCCTGAGTATATATTGTAGAATCATTTCCCAAGTGTAGAGCCCTCAGACTAGAGAGTGACATGAGGAAATAGGAGGGGGAATGTTGCCACCCAGGCAAAAGATAGAGCTATCTGTTTGCAGAAGAGTGTTGGCTGAGTAGCAAGGCTGAGACAGTATTGAGTCTAGACCGTCACTTTATGTCTCTATGCAAATAGGGAAGTGACTCTGGAAATTTTTTTCTCAATATATGTTTTTATTTAAATTGGAAATATTCATGCTTCACATGTCAATCCCAGCTCCCTCTCCCACCCTCCTCCCTTGTCCCTCCACCAGCCCCCCCAGCCCCCAGCCCAATCCCCACATCATTCCCTAGGGAGGGTGAGGCCCTCCTTGGGGGGATCTCTAGAGTCTGTCATTTCATCCAGGGCAGGGCCTAGGCCCTCCCCCATGTGTCCAGGCTGAGAGAGCATCCCTCCATGTGGAATAGGCTCCCAAAGTTCATTCGTACGCCATGGTGGACACTGATCTATTACCCAAGGCCCCAGAGATTTCTGAGGCCTCCTCACTGACGCTGTATTCATGGAGTCTGGATCAGTCCCATGCTGGCCTCTCAGCCATCAGTCTGGGGTTCAAGAGTTCCGCCTTGTCCGGTCAGCTGTCTTTGTGGGTTTCACCAGCACAGTCTTGACCCCTTTGCTCATCACTCCTCCATCTCTGTCACTGGGTTCCAGGAGTTCAGTTCAGTGTTTAGCTGTGAGTATCTGCCTCTGTTTCCATCAGTCACTGGATGAAGGTTCTAGGGTGGCATATAAGGTAGTCATCAACCTTATCATCAGGGAGGGGCTATTAATGTAGTCTCTCTGCTATTGCTTAGTTTGCCAGTTGGTGTTATCCTTGTAGATCTCTGGAAATCTCACTAGTGTCCACTCTCTATTCAAATGACTCTGAAAATGTAGGTCATCTTCCTCCCTGAAGCATAGAATTTGTGGTTGGATTAGCCAACACAGGAGTCAAGTTTAAGGAACTGATGCTAGATTCTGAGCCACCACAGAAAATAGTTTTGAGGAGAAAACAAGCTTTTGTGGTTAAGCCATACTGTTGTTCTCTGTAATTGTGTCCTCAGTAATTTACACGGGTATACTAGCTTAAGGACAGCACCAGAAGTCACAGGAAAACACCCCTGTGTCTGGGGACAAGGAATGAGTCTCCTTTCCGTATCATCATTGAACATGATCTGGTGACTTCACACTAGTCCCTGGGGAAACACAAAGCAATGTTTAGCTTCTGGTCTCTAAATGGTGAGTGCAGAATCGAAAGAGAACAGGAATCTGGGAAAAACTCTTGTAGTTGTAAAGATACAGAGCAAGCTATGTCTACATCAGGGGAACTGAGATTTGGAGAGGTTAATTAATGTGCAGAGTTGAATGTGTTACAAAACGGGAATGCCAAAGAAGGTCCTGTGAGTGTCCAGATTCCCTGCAGAACTCATTTACAGTGTCAGGTCTTCCAGGTTCTCTAGTCAACTGCGAACTGCCATATCATCTGCCCAGCCATCTGGCTAGCAGGCCATCCCATGGATTTTAGTCTTGCCAAGCTCTGTAATCATCAGATCCAAGGGGCTCCACATAAGCTGCAAAAATACCACAGACTTCAAGAGTGTCTTACAAATCCTACTAAAAACTCAAGAAGCTCAAAGTAATGCTTTACCCCATTGCCATTTAACCTGCACATTCCACTTTGCAGCAATCCCTGACCCCATGTTCAGAAATTTGTAAAAATCTCCTTGAAGGTGTTATGAAAAGGTGGCTAAACCATGAAGAGGCCGCACACAGGAACTGACTGGAATACCCCACAGTCTGTGGAAAGGAAGGAGCATCCCTCAGGACATTCAGCTCTGAAACTATGGATGAAGGGAGAAAAGAGTACATCTCTAGGAGTCAGGGTTAATTGGCTACATGCTAAAACTTTATACATATGGGTGTTTCTCAAAGAATCAAAAATAGGTTTCTTAAGCTGAATTTTGTTTTCTTTACAAACATAAGAAAATTTTAGACATCTTTGGTCTCTGACTGCCCACTTCAGAGACCCAACTCCCCCACCAAAAAAACTTTAGAAACAGGAGACTAGAGAACAAGTGAGAGGAACAGAGAGGAGAGGAAGGGTGGGGGGCTCAGACAAAAATGGAAGTGTTCAAGGGTACAGAGGGGAGGAGAGGAGAGAAAACGGGAAGCAGAAAGGTAAAGAAAGAATGGTAAAGAGAAGAATGGAAAGGAAGGGTAGAAGAGCTCAGAGAACAGGGTGGAGATAAAAAGTTAGGTAGAAAAGAGAGGAGATTTTCACATTCTTCTCTCTACAGCCCTGGTGGCTTCTGCTACATCTCTGTAGGAGGTCTTCAGGAAACTATTTCACTCAAGATTGGAAGTGGGGTATATACAGGTGACCAGAACAGTGCTTTAGGTCCTTGCTAGAACAACTTAACGCATGTCAGGCACAGTGTATAAATGAAGCTGCAGTTGTCTCCTTGGTTTGTGAATTAGAGTTTGGCTAAAGATTGGATGAGAGATGAAATTGGTTGGGATGTAGTGGTGCATATCTGTAATCTCAGCATTTGAACTACATCAGAAGTGTTGTGACATGGAAAACAACTGAGGCTACTGTCTTAGTGGACTTTTTATTGCTGTCATAAACACTAAAACCAAAAGCAACTTTGGGAGGAAAAGTTTTATCTAGAGGTTTACATGTCTGCATCACAGTCCACTGTTGAGGAAAGCCAAGACAGGAAGCCTGGTGACTGGAACCCACAGCTAAACACTGAACTGAACTCCTGGAACCCAGTGACAGAGAGGGAGGAGTGATGAGCAAAGGGTCAAGACCAGGCAGGTGAAACCCACAGAAACAGCTGACCTGAACAAGGGAGAGCTCATAGACCCCAGACTGATAGCTGAGAGGCCAGCATGGGACTGATCCAGACACCCTGAACGTGGGTGTCAGTGAGGAGGCCTCAACATTCCTTGTGACCTTGGGCAATAGATCAGTGTTTCTTGAGTTCTTTATGTATTTTGCATATTAGTCCTCTATCAGATGTGGAGTTGGTGAAAATACTTTCCAATTCTATAGGCTTCCACTTCTGGCCATGCAGAAGTTTCTCAGTTTCATGGGGTCCCATTTATTAATGGTTGACCATAGTGCCTATGCTAAATAACCATGTTTTGTTCAGAAAGTTATCTCCTGTGCCAATGTGTTCAAAGCTGTTCTCTACTTTATCAATGTATGGGGTTTTATGTAGAGGTCTTTGATCCATTTGGAGTTGATTTTTTTGAGGGTGATAAGTATGGATCTATTTTGATTCTTCTATGTATAGACATCCAGTTTGCAATTTGACCAGCACCATTTTGTTGAAGATGCTGTCCTTTTTCCAGTGTTTATTTCTGGCTTTTTATCAAAAATCAGCTGTCTGTAGGTGTGTGTCTTTCAATTTGATTCCATTGATCAACATGTCCAATACCGTGCTGTTTTTATTACTATAGCTCTGTAGTACAGCTTGAAATCGGAAATGGTGAAACTCACAGAAATTCTCTACACTCGTTTGTGTGTGTGTGTGTGTGTGTGTGTGTGTGTGTGTGTGTGTGTGTGTTCCCATATGAACCTGAAAATTGGTAACATGGCCATTTTTCTGTTACTCTACCAATCAATGAGCATGGAAGATCTCATCTTCTAATATCTTTTTCAATTTCTTTCTTTAATGTCTGAAGGATTTTATCATACACTTGCTTAGTTAAAGATAGCCCAAGTTATTTTATATTACTTGAGGCTATTGTGAAAGGTGTTGCTTCCCTAATTTCTTCTTCAGGTCATTAGTCATTTGTATATAGGAGGGCTACTAGTTTTTGTGAATTAATTTTGTGTCCATCTACTTTTATTTTAGTTTTTCTGAGACAATGTTTCTCTGTGTAGCTTTGGAGCCTGTCCTGGAACTTGCTCTGTACACCAGGCTGGCCTCGAACTCACAAAGATCCACCTGCCTCTGCTTCCCAAGTGCTGGGATTAAAGGTGTGCGCCACCACTGCCCGACTCATGTCCAGATACTTTGTTGAAAGTGTTTATCAACTATAAGAGTTTCCCAGTGGAATTTTTAGAGTCTCATATATACTATCATATCTTCAAATAAAGATACTTTGACTTCTTCCTTTACAATTTGTATCCCCTTGGTCTCATTCAGTTGTATTTTTGCTCTAGGTAAGGGTTCAAGTACTATATTGACTAGGTATGGAGAGCGGGAACAACCTTGTCTTCTTCCTTGTCTTAGAAGAATGTCTTTGATTTTAAACTGCCTTTATTATGTTATACCTTTATGATATCCCTTGTATCCCTAATTTCTCTGGGACTTTTATCTGGGGTGTTGGATTTTGTCAGAGTCCTTTTCTGCATCCTATGTTTTTTTTTCCTTTCAGTTTGTTTATATGGTGGGATTTTCATATGTTGAACCATCCCTGCATCTCTTGGATGAAGCATACTTGATTGTTGTGGATGATCTTTTTGATTTTTTTCTTGATTTGATTTACAAGTATTTTATTGAGTGTTTTTGCACCTATGTTTATAAGGGAAATTGGAAATTGGCCTGTAATCCTTTCTCATTGTTGGATCTTTTTTCTCTTTCTCTCTTTTTTTTTGGTTTTTCAAGATCAGGCTTTCTCTGTGTGGCCCTGGCTGTCCTGGAACTCGCTCTGTAGACCAGGCTGGCCTTGAACTCACAGAGATCCACCTGTCTCTACCTCCCAAGATTAAAGGTGTGCCACACCAAGCAACTGCCGCCAGCTCATTGTTGTGTCTTTATATGTTTGGGTATCATAATAATGGTGGCCTTGGATAGTCAGTGTTCCTTCTGTTTGTATTTTGTGGAATAATTTGAGGAGTATCTCATTAACTCTCCTTTGAAAGTCTGGTAGAATTCTGTGATAAAACCATCTGGCCCTGAGCTTTGCATGGAAGGTTTTAATGACTGCTTCTATTTCACTAGGAGTTACAGGTCTGTTTAATTTGCTTATCTGATTTACCTTTGATAAGTGGTACCTATGAAGAAATTTATCTATTTCTTTTTACATTTTCCAATTTGGTGGAGTATGGGTTTTTAAGTATGTTCTTAATATTCCGTGGATTTTCTCAGTGTCTGTTATGTTCCCCTTTCATTTCTAACCTTGTTAACTTGGATATCCTCTCTCCACCTTTTAGTTAATGTGAATAAGGGTTTGTCCTCCTATGATTTTCCCCAAGAACCAACTCTTTGATTCATTGAGTCTTTGTGTTGTTTAGTTTTGTTTCTATTTTATTAATTTCAGCCCTGGGTGTATTTCTTGCCATCTACTCCTTTGGTGTGTAGTGTTCTTGTGTTATTCCAAAGCTTTCAGGTATGCTTAAGTTATAGCATGAGATCTCTGCAAATTTTTATGTAGGCATATAGTGCTGCAAACTTGCCTCTTAGAGCAGCCTTCATACAATCTGGGGTATGTTGAATATTCATTTTCATTCATTTTTAAAGTCTTTAATTTCTTTCCTAATTTCTGTTTTGATTCATGTGGTGCTTTGAATGACAACAGCCCCCATAGGCTCATAGATTTGACTAGTTGGTCACCAGGAAGTGGTACTATTTGAGAAGGATTAGGAAGTGTGACCTTGTTGTGGGAAGTGTGTCAGTGGGGGTGGGCTTTGAGGTTTCCAATGCCCATATCAGGCCCAGTGTCCCTTTCTGTAAGCAAGCTCCAATTAAATGTTGTTTTCTATAAGTGCTGTCTTGGTCATAGTGTCTCTTCACAATAATAGAACAGTGACAAAAACAAAGACACAGCCCCCAAAATTGTTCCTTCTTGAGTAAACTCGACTTAATTATGAAAAAAACCTTTTAATTTTATTCTTTTCCAACTATTTTCCAAAGCAAAGAGTACTTATACCACACAGGAAAACAGTATTTTGAGAACCTGGAGTCCAGCTCTTCCTCCCAGACGAGACTGTGTTCCCAGGGAGCACCTATTTGCACCTCGCCCCCTGCTGGAAACATCCTTCTCTGCATGCACCTCACAAACCGCACAGAAAGGCTCAGGACAATGCAGAGCACAAGGTCAGGGTCTCAACTCTGCCCTCTAGGGGCTGAATGGAGCCAGGCAGAATCTCCAGAGGGGCCCCTGAGACAAACTGGACAAGAAGCAGAAACCCAGCTCCATGGAGCCACTTGGCACCTGCATCTCAGCCCTCGGAAACACCATCATCTACTGGAACAGAGAAACTGGTCCTGGAGGGTTAAGACTCCAGTGATCACCCACAGCATCCCCGTGAGAACCTCGCTGCCCTGAGTCTCCTGTGTTGTCTGCCTGCCATGGATGGCTCCCATAGCTGCCTTAGCTCCCAAGACACATTAACAGGCTGTTTGGAAAGGTGATAAGACCAGAGAATCTGGGAGGGGAGACTGGAGGAAGGAAATGGCAGAAGGAGGGGGAGAAAAGGTAGAGGGTGGCCTGGATGATATCCTCATGTTCCACTCCCTGAAGCCCTGGAGCTTTTTGCCATATCACCAGAGGAGGAATGCAACCAATTCCTTTATTCAGATCCCTCCCAGGAGTCCCTAGCAGCTTAGGTTTTATTTGATTCTGGAAGTGGTCAAGTTGACACCCAAGCCTACCATTACAGTGTGAATGGTGAATGGTTAAATCCTATTCTTCCTTTGAAACGTGAAAGAATCCCTCTGCATTGTAATTCAATTTGCTGCTATGATGTCTTTATTACTTACATTTTTGACGAAAAAAAAACTGTTGCCTTTTACCAAATTTGAATCAGGGGCTTTCTGTGATCTTAATTCTCGTGATTCCCCAACCTTGGGCTTATTCATTAGTCCAGCGCCTCTCCAGTTAATTCACATATATGTTGGGTGAGTGTGGTAGCCTGACTGTAATCCCAATCCTCAGAACAAACACAAAGAACTTCCATATCAAAACAGCTAGCTAGACTAGCCAAATCATTGAATTATGGCTTCAGTATATTAGAAAGCAAGCAAGGAATACACTGGACATCAACATCTGGCCTCTACATAGACCTACATACAAATGCAGTCACACCCAAAATGTCTTGATCACACATTTGCAAACTCACCTTATATACATGCATACAGTGCAAAAGTATCATGACTAATTGGTTATTCTTCTGTAAGAGCTCATATTTCTCATCCTCATCCTGGGCTTATCTACTAAATATGATATTTTGAGTTCTATTGAATTTTGTGCAAATTTCAGAACTGCATCATTTTTTGTTTGGTTTTTCAAGACAGGCTTTCTCTGTGTAACAGCACTGACTGTCCTGGAACTCACTCTGTAGACCAAGCTGGCCTCAAACTCAGAGATCCACCTGCCTCTGCCTCTGCCTCCCAAGTGCTGGGATTAAAGGTTTGTGCCACCACTGCCCAGCTCTAGCTCATCATTTTTTATGACAAAACTGCCATTGTTTCTATACGTGAGATCCGATTTCAAATTTGTGTCATGTACCATCCATTTGTTGGTGAGAATCTAGGCTGATTCTACTCATATTGTGAGTAGGCCTGCAATCAACACAAATGTACAAGTATCTGTGTGACACTGACTTTCAGTCAGTTATATAATCACTTTCAGAGCTATAAAATTGGGTCATATGGTATATTTAGGTATATTTTTTAGGTTTCTGAAGAAGTTCTGTACTAATGTCCATTTTGAATATATAAGTTTACATTCCCACCAATAGTGACTAAGGGTTCCTCATTCCCCACATCCTTACCAGTATTTGTTATCACTCGTTTTCTTAATAGAGAACAGTCTCACTGGAGTAAGATGGAATTTCAGAGCAGTATTAATCTGCATTATTCTTGTTTTGAGACAGTTCTCTAGAACTGATTAGCCAATTTCTTGATTTAAAAGTTTTTCTTGAGCCAGGCAATTGTGGCACACGCCTTTAATCCCAGCACTCGGGAGGCAGAGGCAGGTGGATCTCTGTGAGTTCGAGACCAGGCTGGTCTACAGAGTGTGTTCCAGGACAGCCTCCAAAACAATACAGAGAAACTCTGCCTCAAAACCACCCCCTAAAAAGTTATTCTCTTATTTAAAAGAAGACTTTTATTTTGTTCTTTTATTTAAAAATGATTTAAAAAATTTTAAGGTACATGAATATTTGCCTGCCATGCATGTGCACCATGTGCATGCTTGGTGCCTGTTGAGACCAGAAAAGGATTTGGATGTCTTGAACCTGGTGTTGCAGACAGTTGTGACCACCATGTGTGTGCTGGAAACTGAACCCAGGTCCTCTCCAAGATCAGCAAGTTTTCTTATCCACTTAGCCCTCTCTCCAGCTTCAAAAATGTAAAGTTCCTTGTATATTTTAGATGTTAAATCTCTATAAGTTATTAATGAAATTATTTCACTTTTGTATTTTTTTAAACTTGCTTTACAGAGATAGATGGTTCTGTGGTTAAAAGCACTGTCTACTTTTCTAGAAGACCCTGATTTTATTCTCAGCACCCCAATTGTGCATCAGTACCACCTATAACTACAGCACTAAGGGATTTGATGCCATCTCTATCCTCTGAGGACACCAATCAAACATCTACATATATACAGGGAAAATACCCATATATGTTGTCTTAGTGTTTTATTTCTGTGAAAAAAAAAAAAGAAACATCATGACCTGTTCATCTGTCTTGAGGCAGCATGGGCTGGGGAGAGATGCTTTTTTTGTAATGTTTTTATTTAAATTAGAAACATGAATGCTTCACATGTCAATTCCAGTTCCCTCTCCCACCCCTCCTACCTTGTCCCTCCACCAGCCCCCAACCCCCCACCCAATCCCCATGTCATTCCGTAGGGAGAGTGAGGTCCTCCTTGGGGGGATCTCCAAAGTCTGTCATTTCATCCAGGGAAGGACCTAGGCCCTTCCCTATGTGTCCAGGCTATAGAGAAAGCATCCCTATATTTGGAATGGGCTCCCACAGATCATTCATGGACCATGGTAAACACTGATCTACTACCCAAGGTCCCAGTGATTCTGTGGCCTCCTCGCTGACACCACATTCATGGAGTCAGGATCAGTCCCCT